TATTATCCCTACCATTACATTAAGTGACTTTCCTCTCTACCCGCAGTGTGAAGGGGTAATGTCAGAACAAGCCTTCAATAACCAAACTCATTGTTCAAGTATTGACAGCCCAGTCGCCTAACCAGAAAATGCAGAAGTCATCCAAGGGAGCTGATTTTGGGGATCAGGTTTGTCCCACCTACCATAGGTAAAACCAGGAGATAAACAGGAAGTGCTGAGTGGGCTTGGTTTACTCCTACAGGCACGGAGAGAAATAAAATCAGTGTTTACCAAATGGAAAAGCACAAAGTTGGTACAGAGAGCAATGCTATTTTCGTGCTTCTAAAAAGGTATTACAAATAACACAAAGTTTCAAACCTATAATTAAAAACTATTTTAAAAAAGCTTTGATTAAATTCCCTTCAAAAATAGACCTCTTAGGCTAAAGCCAATTTCTTAAAGGGTCTGCCTCCCATCTATGCTGCTTTCCCCTAATCCATACTCTATAAATGTCCCTCTTAAATAACAGACTTCAATGAAAAAAGCATGTCTTAGAGTCATCTAGCAGAAGTCCAGCGCTCCTGGGGCACTTGGGTGGCTCAGTTCGGTAAAGCATCCAACTCTTGGTTTCGGCTCAGACCATGATCTCAGGGTTGTGAGATCGAGCCCCATGTCAGGCTCTGAGAGGGCATGGAGGCTGCTTGAGATTCTCTTTCTCCCTCTGTCACTGCTTGTGCTCTCTTTTTCTCAAAATAAATAAAATCTTAAAAAAAAAAAAAAGTCAATGCTCCTACCTAACTGAAGAATCCAAGGCCCCAAAGTGAATTTATCAAATACCACGTAGCAAGAGGTAGAGCCATTTAGAAGCAGGGAGAATTTAGGATCCAGGCAAAAGTTATAGATAAACTGAATTTCTTAGTGCCAGACCTAAGGACACAAACCCTGTGGGAAATGGGCTAAATGCATTGTTGGTGTCATTTTGACCAGAAGCTGAAAGGCTGGTCCTATGGGTCCAAACAGGGGAGAACCCTCCCTCCCAAGACCCTGTCAGAATCTCTGGACAAGACCCTTTCTTCTTCTTCTTTTTTTTTTTTTTTTTAAGATTTTATTTATTTATTTGAGAGAGAGAGAGAGAGACAGAGACAGAGTGAAAGAGCATGAGAGGGGAGGTCAGAGGGAGAAGCAGACTTCCCATTGAGCTGGGAGCTTGGTGTGGGACTCGATCCTAGGACTCTGGGATCATGACCTGAGCTGAAGGCAGAGGCTTAACCACCTGAGCCACCCAGGTACTCCCCTTTCTTCTTTTGTGTTAATAGCCTCAACGGAAAACCAAGGGGATTTGCAGTTCTAATGTTGTGAGTCTAAGAAAAGAAAAGGACTGAAAAAGGTGACGATCCAGGGAAATAAAGAATAAACGAATGGAAATGAAGATAGATTATTTTGGGCAAGAGTAAGTAATAATATTTAAAAACCCGGTAGGGTTGTCTGAGGTTGGTTAAACTTTAATAACCCAGATTTCAGACCAACATCAACACTCAAACCAAGAATAGCCGAAGAAAAGAATGGGCAAAGTGCAAGATTAGGCAATTCAAAAAAAGAACATCTAGACATGGCCAATAAACACATGAAAAATGTTTGGTCTCAATGGTATTCACACATGCAGGGAAAAAAACCCTGCAACAGTCAGACTTTCCCTGTCTTTAAACTGCTAAAGGCTAAAAAGGGTAATGACACCCAGTGTTGGTGAAGGTGCAGAGAAATTGATTGGTGAACACCGCTAATGAGAATGCAACCTGGCAAAACTGAATGGAGGGACTTTTGGACACATGTCAAGTTTTTAACATGAATACCCTCGATGCAGCAGTGCCGATTCTGGAAATTTACCTTAGAGGAAATTTCCATGACCAGTTTAGTGGATTGCCAATGGGTACAAATTCTTTGCTGCTCCTCTCAGCAAGAGGGAGAGGGTATTTCCCTTCCCCTTTCATCTGGACTGGCCCTGTGGCTAGCTTTGAGTGCCAAATATAGCAGAGGTGGTGTTGTGGGACTTCTGAGCCTTGCCTTAAGAGGTCTGGTGGTTTGTATTTGATCTCTGTTAAATGCCAGTTGCCTTTGAAGTTCAATTACCCTGAAAACTACCATGTTGTGAGGAAGCCAAAGCTCGTCACAAGGGAAAGGAGAGATCACTGAGGCTCAAAATCTCCAAATCTACGAGCAAAGCCTTTTTGATCTGTCTGGTCCAGCTCAGTGGCCTCCAGACGATGCCATGTGCAGTAGTAGGACCACCTAGTGAAGACTGCATGAACCCTTGGCCCCTCAAATCATGAGAAATAATAAATCACTGCTGTTTTAAGCCACTGAATTTTGGGGTGGTTCATTGTGCTGCAAAAGAGCACTGAAACAGAAATAGGAAGGGTCACCCCATCAGGCAAAGCATTCTAGCTCAAGTGTCTACTGATGAGAGCAACAGGAATGGAGATTGGCCAGCGGAAGAAGGAAGTCATAAATACCAGCTATGACCACTGGACAATTAGGAGTGTTTCTTTCTTACTTTAGGATAATACAGGGATGCCTGGGTGGCTCAGTTAGCTGAGCGTCTGACTCTTGATTTCAGCTCAGGTCATGATCTCGGGGCCATGAGATGGAGCCCTGCATCATGGAAGCCTGCTTAAGATTCTCTCTCTCCTGGGATGCATCAGTGGCTGGGTACATTAAGTGTCTGCCTTCAGCTCACGTCATGGATTCCAGGGTCCTGGGATTGAGTCCCGCGTTGAGCTCCTTGCTCAGTGGGGAGCCTGCTTCTCCCTCTGCCTGCTGCTTTCCCTGCTGGTGTTCTCTCTCTTACCAATAAATAAATAAAATCTTAAAAAAAAAGATTCTCTCTCCCTCTGCCCCTCCCTCTCTATCTCTCAAAGCAAAAAACAAAAAAACAAAACAAAACAAAACAAAACGAAACAAAAAAACCAAAAATCTTTTGTATAAATACAGCATATTTGCTTAGGTATTAAAGACCTCTTTTTCTTTATCTCCACCCCGTGCTCACCTTCCCATTCCCCTTTTAGCTAACATAAGAGGTATTAATAGTGGTTAGCCATGGATCTTTGTATTTAAGTTACAGGATATCAAAGGGGAATTATAATTTAGAGAAAAAAACATTGCCTCCAAATGAATAAATCTTTATATTCTATTTTTTAAAATAAAGTTTTATTTTAGAATAGTTTTACATTTATGGAAAAATGGCAAAGACAATACAAAGTTCCCACATATGGGCCTACCTCATTTGATTGCATTTCGTTTTATTGAGATTTGCGGATATTATGGATTTTACAAATTGCTGGTTTGTGGCAACTTTTCATTGAGGAAGTCTACCCATGCTACTTTTCCAACAGCGTATGCTCACTTATCACATATCCCATGTCACATTTTCACAATTCTTGCAATATTTCAAGCTTTTTCATTATTATTATATTGTGATGGTGATATGTGATCACTGATCTTTGATGTTACTATTATAATTGTTTTGGGACATCATGAACCCTATTCATATAAGATGACAAACTTAATCCGTAAATGTTGCGTGTGTTCTGATGTTGATTACTCCACTGAGCAGCTGTTCCCCCATCTGTCTCCTTTTCCTTGGGTCTTCCTGTTCCCTGGGACACAGTGATACTGAAATTAGGCCACTAAATCCTATCATGGCCTCGGAGTGTTCAAGTGAAAGGGAGGAGTTGCATGGTCAACTTCAAGTCAAAAGTTAGAAATAATACACTTAGTGAGGAAGACATGTTCAAAGCCCAGATCAGTGGAAAGCTATACCTCTTGTCCAACCAGTTAGCCAAGTTGTGAATGCAAAGAAAAAGTTCGTGAAGGAAATTCAGTGCTGCTCCAGTAAACACAAGCTTGGTAAAAAAATGAAAGAGCCATACTGCCGAGATGGAGCAAGTCTGGTGGTCTGGATAGAAGATCAAACCAGCCACAACATTCCCTTAAGCCAAAGCTTGATCCAGAGCAAGGCCATAACTCTCATCAATTCTGTGAAGGCTGAGATGGGGGGGGAAGTTGCAGAAGAAAAATCTGAAGCTAGCAGAGGTAGGTTCATGAAATCTAAGGAAAGAAGTCATCTCCATAACATCAAAGTGCAAGGGTAAGCAGCCAGTGCTGGTGTAACAGCTGCAGCGTGTTCTCCTGAAGATCTAGCTAAGATCATCCAAGATGGCAGCTATGGTAAACAACAGATTTTCTGTGTAAACAAAACACCCTTCTGTTGGAAGAAGATGCCATCTAGTACTTTAACAGACAGAGAGAAGAGTCAATGCCTGGTTTCAAGGCTTCCAAGGACAGGCTGACTCTCTTGTTAGGGGCTAATGCAGCTGGTGACCTTAAGTTGAAGCCAATGATCATTTACCATTCTGAAAATTCTAGGACCCTTCAGAAATGCTAAATCTACTTGCCTGTGTTCTCTAAATGGAATAAAGCCTGGATGACAGCACATCTGTTTACAACATGGTTTACCGAATATTTTGAGCCCACTGCTGCAACTTACTTCTCAGAGAAAAACATTCCTTTCAAAATAGTACTGCTCATTAACAATGCACCCAAGAGTTCTGATGGAGACGTACAAGATTAATGTTGTTCTCATGACTGCTAACATAACATCCATTCTGCAGCCCATGGATCAAGGAGTAATTAGGACTTTCAAATCTTATTATCTAAGAAACACATTTCATAAGGCTAGATCTGCCACAGACAGTGATTCCTCTGATGGATCTGGGCAATGTAAATGGAAACCATTCTCAAAAAAATTCACCCTTCTAGAGGCCATTAAGAACATTCATGATTCATGGTTAGAGGTCAGAATATCAACATTAACAGGAGTTTGGAAGAAGTACTTGTGGAGGACTTTGAAGGGATCAAGACTTGAGTGGAGGAAATAATAGCAGATGTAGTAGAAACAGCAAGAGAACTAGAATCAGAAGTGGAGCCTGAAGATGGGACTGCATTATTGTGATCTCATGACCAACCTTGCTGAGGAGCTGTTTCTTATGGATGAACAAAGAAGGTGGTTTCTTGAGATGGAATCTACACCTGGTGAAGATGCTGTGAACACTGTTGAAATGACACAAAGGATTTAGAATACATAAACGTAGTTGATAAAGCAGTGGCAGGTTTTGGAGGGACTGACTCCAATTTTGAAAGAAGTTCTACTGTGGCTAAAATGCCATCAAGCAACATCACCCGCTCCAGAGAAAGCATTCATGACAGGAAGGGTCATTCAATGTGGCAAACCTCATTGTCATCTTCTTTTAAGAAACTGCCACAGCCACCCCAGCCCTCAGCCACCACCACCCCGATCAGTCAGCGGCCATCAACATGGAGTCTAGACCCTCCATCAGCAAAAATACAGCTACTTGCTGAAAGCTCAGATGATAAGTAGAATTTTTTAGTAATAAAGTATTTTTAAATTAATGTATGTATATTGCTTTTTAGACAAGACATGATTATACATTTAGTAGACTAAAGAATAGTACACACATAACTTTTATATGCACTGGGAAATCAAAAAGATCATTCAACTTGCTTCATTGTGATAATTCACTTTATTGTGGTAGCCTGGAACACAACCCATAGTATCTGTGAAGAATGCCATATTCCACAGGGAATTTCTCCTATTATTAATATTTTACATTGGCATTGTATATTTATCAGAATGAATGAACCAGTTTTGATACATTACCATTCACCAATGCCCACACTTCATTCAAAGTTCCTTTGTTTTTACTTAATGTCCTTTTCTCTATCAGAATTGCATCTAGAAAACCATAATAAGTATATGTCGCATCTTCTTAGATTCCTCTTGGCTCTGATAATTCCTCAGACTTTCCTTGTTTTTGATGGCCTTGACAGTTTTGAGGAATACTAGTCGGGTCTTTTGTAGAATGCCTGTCAACTGAGAGTCATTTGATGCTTTTCTCATAATTAGATTGAGCTCCTGGGTTTTGGGGAGGAAGCCCACAAAGGTTAGCATGCAGCATGTTATGTGGAAGTATCTTGCTATTGTTTTTATTTGGAGGGTTTTAAAAATATGGTTAAAAGCGCTATGTATGGGTGCCAAATTGACAAAGCATAGACTGTGGTCACCAGTACTACGTCAACTTGGTGAAACGGAAACCCTTTTTCCAGAATCCCCTTCCCTCTATGGTTCTGAGTTAGAATTGGACAAAAAGAAACTTATGCAAGATTTGGAATATGGAAGTGAAGCAGTTTCTAACCTTTGAAGTTTCTTGTGGTCGGATACAGTTAGAGATGCAGAAGTACTGATAGCTCTAGCATGTTCTCCCTTTCCTCCATTCTGGATGCAGTTCTTCCTGACTGTTGACCAACAGTAGCTCCAAAGTTCCTACCAGACCCTTGGTGGTGAACTCACAGGGGTGGTAGTTATACAGAAGCCTGGCTTCCTCCACACCTTCCCAGAAGACATCACTCTGCAGCCACTTTTGGCAGGTGGTTGTGCTTTGCTTCCCAAATTCAGGGGTTGGTGACTTTTTCTCTGATACTCCAACTTCCTTCCTAGGCTTTTATTTTCCCAGCTCCTTCCAGAACTATGTCACATCTGATTCCTATAATAAAATCTTTACCCCATAATGTACATTAGTTCTGATTCTGTGACTGAACTCAGACGGATACATCAAGATATGGGCGACTAATCCTTGACCTGAGAACAATTATAAAAGCTAGCAAAAAAATAGAAAACAATTGTGTAAGAGTCTTATATGCTGCCATTAAAAACTGCCACAAAGTTAGTGGCTTAAACAACACAAATGTATTCTGTTGCAGTTCTCCAGGTCAGAAGTCTGGTATGGGCCTCACAGATTAAAATCAAGGTGTTAGGATGCCCAAGTGGTACTGTCGGTTGGGCAACTGATTCTTGGTTTTGGCTCAGGTCGTGATCTCAGGGTTGTGGGATCGGGCCCTGCACTGTGCTCCGTGCTCAGCGGGGTCTGCTTAAGCCTCTCTCTGCCCCTCCCCCTCCCCCACCCTCTCTCCCTCTCTCTCTAAAATAAATAAATCTTTAAAAGAATGAAGTCAAGATGTTGGAAGGCTGTGCTCTTTTCTGGAGGCTGTAGGAGAGAAGCAGTTTCCTGCTCATTCAGATTGGTGGGAGTATTCAATTCCTGGGCTGTAGGACTGAGGTGCCAGTTTTCCTGCTGACTATAAACAAAGAGGCGTTTCCCAGACTACCACCTGTCCTGGATCACAGCACCCTTACTTCATCTTCAAAGCCAGCCATGTCAAGTCTTTGTCATGTTGCAACTCTCTCACCCACTTTTCTGCCTCCCTCTTTTGTTTCTATTTTTATTTATTTATTTTTTAAAAGATTGATTTATTTCAAAGAAAGACAGAGAGAGAGAGAGAGTGTGTATTAGTGGGAGGGGCAGAGGGAGAGAGGGAGAGAGATCCCAAGCAGACTCCCTACTGAGCATGGAGCCCTACCTGGGGCTTGATCTCACCACCCTGAGATCATGAACTGAGCCGAAACCAAACATTGGACCCTCACCCAACTGCACCACCCAGGTGCCTCTCTCATCTGTTTTTAAAAGCTCATGAGATTAGTTTGGGCCTACCTGGATAATATATGATAAATTTCCTACGTTAAAATCTGTTGATTAGAAACCTTAATTCTATCTCCAACTTTAATTTGCTTTTGTTATGTAATATAATGCATTCATAGGTTCTGGGGATTTGGGTCTGGATACTTTTGACAGGCCACACTTTATTTGTGGCATCAGAAAAAGATCAAACTCATCAGGATTTAAAAGGATGTGAAATTTCCCCCTCTCAGGACATTTGCCACTTAAATGTGAGAGGGGAAAAAAAGGAAGCAGAGGTTTAGGGCTTTTCATAGTTTCATTGAGCCAGAGGATGGAACATGAGGCTGCCAATAGCTGAGGGACCAAGATCTCAGAGAGGCGGAAACTCAGAGAAGCAAACCTATAATTCTACATGAAGTTTCTCCTTGAAATACATGTTAACCCCAAAGTTGCATGTGGGTAGGCTGAGAGCAGGGGCTCAAAGGCTAAGGAGGTAAGCAGACATTTCATCTATCCTGTGGGTGACTGGGGCCAGAAACTGGATTTCAGAGCTTACCAAGGTTGAAGGGCTTGGCAAACAACACAAAACTTTAGCTGAGGCCCTAGAGATACTTTCCATGAATAGGAGCAAAGCAGAAATAGATCAACCTTGATTTGACTACACCCCCTTCTATCTATCAGAAATGAAATCCTTTTGGGAACAAATCATCATCCAGAGCTTCTGTACTTTTTCATATACAACGTCTGCCACTCAATAAAAAAATCCTAGTCATAGCAGAGGATACAGAACTAAATGACTGAAAACCAAGAGGAAAAAAATGCAGACAACAGAAGCAGATCCACAAACAACCCAAACCTGGGTGTAATGAGAAAGGGATTTGAACTTTTTCTTTTATTTTCAAGAATCAAATTGTGATTATATAACTAAAAAATAATAAAGAACTGAAGTTGAAAATTCAATACATGGGCTTATCATCTCCATGACTTATTTATTTTATAACTACAACTCTATACTCCTTAATGCCCTTTATCTGTTTTATTCATTTCCCCATCTATTTCCCTTCTGGCAACCACCAGTTTGTTCCTTGTATCTAAGAGTTTTTGTTTGTTTAACAGAATTTCAGATGCAGCAAAAGAGAAGGTTAATAGAGATAAAATGGGTCAGGAAACATCCAAATTGAAGCACAGATAAAAAGACATGGGAAATACAAAAAGACCATAGGAGACATATTGTATGTCATGTAAAGTCTGACATACATGTAATTAAAGTCCTAGAAGACAAGAAGAAATATCTGAAGAAAAGTCACTGGGAATGTTAAAAAATTGATGAAAGATATCAAACCACAGATTCAAGAAATTATACAAACTCCAAAAAAGATACTTACAAAGAAAACTACACGTAAGCTAGTCATACTGCAAGGGCTGAAAAATAAAATAAAATCTCAAAAGTAGCCAGAGAAAATTAGACACATTACTTTCACAGGGGGCAACAAAAATGCTGACAATGAAAGTGACAGAAGCCAAAGACAAAGGAAAAATTATATGTATAGAAAATAATGTACATTTTATAATGGTAAAACTTTGGGAACATAAATACATCCAACAATAAGATACAATTAATTAATAGTAAATCAGCCATAGTATGAAATATTCACAAGTAAAAAAATTGGTATAGGAAAGCATTATAACAGGCTACAAAGAAGTATGTACTCTATGAACGTAATTTGCATGTGGGTATAATAAAATGTCAAGAATGTTTAATCTCAATGTGGATTAATTCTCCTGTATTCTTTATGCTTTCCTGAGTCTTTAAGGTTTTTGTTTGTTTGCAAAATGTGTATTCTTTAGGTAATTAAAGAGAATTATAATGAACTAATTAAAGAGTTACAATGGTAAAAATAAGTTAAAATCAAGGAACACAAATTAGTAAGTTAAACAGTTATGATGAGGACAAGACTATAAATTTAAATGCAAACATATCAATAATTAAATGTAAACAGTCTGAACACCTCAGTGAAATGGTAAAGATTATAAAACTGGGTGAAAGACCAACTTAATTATAGACTGTCAATGAGAAAGACACTTTAAATATAGAGAAATAGATAAATTAAAAGTAAGAGAATGTTAAAATATACTCCATATAAACACTAATTAATACAGTGAAGTAAAGTTACTAATATCAGACCTAGTACACTTTGGAAGATGAAAAATTGCTAGGGATAAAGTGGACATTATTTGATGCTAAAGGAAACAATTAATCAAGACATGTCACTCCAAACTGTACATGCAACTAAAAACAGAACTTCAACATATACTGAACTAAAACTAAGAAGACTTAAAAGAGAAATAGACAAAGCCTCAACATTCTTCTCTCAGTCATTGATTTTTTAAAAAGCAAAAAGCCAGAGAAAGTGGACACTATCAATCAACTTGACCTAATTGACATTTATAGAACACCCAACAACAGCTGAATACGTTTTCAAGTGCACAT